TTGACTTTGAGGTCAACAGGTCAAAGGTCAAGTTCACAGGGGCCTTGACTATAAAAAAAATGTCTGCCCAATAACTTTAGATTCCTTTGACCCACAGTCTTCATATTTGACATGAATGTTGATCATGACCATAAGGTGACCCCTATTGATTTTGAGGTCACTGGGTCAAAGGTCAAGGTCACAGAGACCTTGACAAAAAAAAGCTTTTCTTCTCAATTGCTAAAGAATGCCTGTCCGCAGTGTATTGATTTTGACATTTTCACATTTGAAGCATGTAGAATACATAACTTAGCAATGCACTGGCTTAGTAACCTCAGATTTGGCAGGGAGGTTGTCCTTGAGCTCTAAATGGCCACTGTTGATTCTGACAAAGTGGTATGCAGGGGTATTCACGCCATGATAGTGGCAGTTCTAGTTTATGTATACATTGTATTTCCTTCATAAATGGGTTCAATGAAAGATGGCTGTTTTACAGAAGTCACAATGTTTATGCCCCCCTTTGAAAAAGAGGGGGTATATTGTTTTGCAAATGTCGGTCTGTTTGTCGTCTGTCTGTCAGTTTGTCTGTTGGTAGACCACATGGTTTCCGCTGATTATCTTGAAAACTATCACAGAGTCTTCATATTTCACATACTAATTGGTCATAACTAGTAGATGACCCCTTGTGATTTTGGGGTCACTAGGTCAAAGGTCAAGGTCACAGAGGCCTTAAATGTTAGATTGGTTTCCCCTGATTATCTTGAAAACTATTTATCACAAAGTCTTGATATTTCACATAGTGATTGGTCATAACTAGTAAATGACTCCTTTTAATTTTGGGGTCACAAGGTCAAAGGTCAAGTTCACAGGGGCCTTAAATGTCAGAATGGTTTCCGCTCATTATCTTGGTTACTATTGATAATTTAAGTCTTGATATTTCACATATTGATTGATCATAACTAGTAGATGACCCCTATTGATTTTGGGGTCACTAGGTCAAAGGTCAAGGTCACAGGGGCCTTGAATGGTATTATGATATCTGCTGATTATCATGGTTACTATTTATCACAAAGTCTTAATATTTCACATATTGAGTGCTTATAACTAGGAGATGACCCCTATAGTTTTTGGGGTCACCAGGTCAAAGGTCAAGGTCACAGGGTCCTTGAATGGTAGTATGATTTCAGCTCATTATCTTGAAAGCTGATTATCACAAAGTCTTTATATTTCACATATTGATTGGTCATAACTAGTAGATGACCACTATTGTTTTTGGGGTCACTAGGTTAAAGGTCAAGGTCACAGGGGCCTTAAATGTCAGAATGGTTTTCGCTCATAATCTTAGTTACTATTTATCACAAAATCTTTATATTTCACATATTGATTGGTCATAGCTAGTAGATGACCCCTATTGCTTTCGGGTCACTAGTTCAAAGGACAAGTTCACAGGGACCTTAAATGTCGGAATGGTTTCTGCTAATTATCTTAAAAACTATTTACCACAAAGTCTTCATATTGCACATACTGATTGATCATTACTAGTAAATGACCCCTATAGATATTGGGGTCACTGGGTCAAATGTCAAGGTCACAGGGGCCTTAAATGTTGGAATGGTTTCCGCTCATCATATTGAAAACTATCACAAAGTCTTTATTATATTTCCTTTTGGTGACAAAATGACATGGTGAGCTTTTGTGATCGCTTTTCGTCCGGCGTCCATCGTCCGTTAACCTTTACTGTAAACGACATCTCCTCATAAACCGCTAAGCCAATTTCATCCAAACTTCACAGGAATGTTCCTTTTGTAGTCAACTTTGAAATATTTTCAAAGAATTTAATTCTAAGCAGAATTTAGGTTGCCATGGCGACCGAAAGAAAAAAACTTAAATATCTTCTTTCAGAAAACCAAAAGAGCTAGAGCTCAAATATTTGGCATGAAACATCATCTAGTCAGTGTCTATCAATTTTTTTCAAATAAATGCCCAGGGGTCAAAATTTGCCCTGCCCCCGAGGTGTCATTGATTTTTCGTATTTGTATATAGTAAAAACTTAAAAAATCATCTTTAAAAAGCCCAAATAGCTAGAGGTTAGATATTAAGCATGAAACATCTTCTAGTGGGTGTCTACCAAGTTTGTTCAAATATAAGCCCTGGTGTCAAAATTGGGCCCGCCCAGAGGTGGGGGGTCATTGTATATAGTATATGTATATAAAAAAAACTTAAAAAATCTTCTTTTAAAAAACCCAAAGAGCTAGAGTTTAGATATTAAGCTCCTTCTAGTCAGTGACTACCAAGTTTGTTCAAATAAAAACCCTGGGGACAAAATTGGGCCCGCCCAGAGGTGGGGGGTCATTGTTTTTTTCTATATGTGTATAGTAAGAACTTAAAAAAATCTTCTTACAGCTAGAGCTTAGATATTTATCATGAAAAATCTTCAAATGGGTGTCTAACAAGTTTGTTCAAATAAAAGCCCCTGGGTTACAATTGGCCCCGCCCCGGGGGCTTATATACAGGTGAGCGATTTCAGGGCCAATAAATTATCATGACCCTCTTGTTTCCATAACTGAACACTTCCATGTACCCATTTATGGCAAGTTTCTATAACAAAAAAACTAATAATGTGAGTCAAGGGCTAGAAAAGGGGGCACATGTGTCGTTCGCATTTCTTGTTGTTTGTTTATTTATTCAAGACTAACACTTTCCGGGTATATAATGCTCCACCTAGCGGTGCTCTTGTTTTGTTTTTGTTGTTTTTTTGTTTTAAACCGCCAACACTCAACTAACTTACGGTAGTTTATCGATAGATTTTATATTTTTAAACTCACTAGCTTGAAATATGTACTGCAGTAAATCCGTTGTTAAAAGGGTTTGGGATCTGTAATTTCGGCCACTCTTTTGGGTTATTACTAGGGTCTGAAATAATTATTTATTTGTTCTGTTCTGGTAAGAAAACATATTTGACCACATCTGACTTTCTGTCATTAAACTGTTCACTACTTCCTATTTTTGTTATTGTACCGAAACACATGTTTTTATTTGTGGTCTCTAATCAATTCGAAACTATAATCAGTTTAATGAGATCACCACCGGTAAACGATTACTAGGTACTTTGGTCAAGTTAATTTCCCAAATATTGAAATGTTTCTATTAAAATTGTACTTATTTAGTAAACAACTGGTGACCTGTCTAATTATCAGATTAGTGGATACATTAAGAATTTCACCACAACATATTGCTAAACAAAAGAGCACATGTCAATGTCAATGTTTGTGTTAAAATTTATTGTTTTTCAAATAAAAGGTCAGAGTAGGGATCTATCAATTGCTAGACATACCTTTTTTTTAAAGAAACTTTTTTTTTAAAAGATACTTTTATGTCATACATGCCATAACGTCCCGGATGTCCGGGAAAGTCCCCTAAATAAGGTGTCTGTCCTGGAGGTGTCTCGGAGATGTTTTATGTCCCGGTAAAATAAAAATCTAAAATAATCTACTTTTAAGCAAGAAATTATTCATTTTTATATAAAACTAGTCTAGAACGCTAATAACGAACGATTATCCCCTTACAACATTGCAATGGTGACACTAATCCTTTGATTGGTATATCTATGTGCCCCTTCCAACAAAGACCTGGGTTGGTATTGCAATTGGACCCCCCCCCCCCTGGGGTCAAGGTCAAGGAACTACAGTTGAAATATTTGGGCTTATCTTGATCCATGCAGCTTTAAACAGTGTTGGTCGATAATTAGAAAAAAAACCTTTATAATGTCAATGTTCGGTTAACTACTAGTATGTCAATATTTAATTATGCTTAAAAACCATAATTCTCATATGTTTCTATTTCTAATCATTTGTAGCAGTTTATAAATATATCAAAATGGGTGTGAGGTTTCAATGGTTATTTAGCTAAAAATACCTGACCACGAAGTGGTCAAGTTGAGGTATAGTGATGCGACTATGTCTGGTATCGTGCGTTGTGCGTCATCAATATTTGGGTTGTTAACACTCTAGCAGTTACAGTTTTGATTGGATCTATTAAAACTTTGGCAAAATGTTTGTCTCAATGAAATACAGGTCATGTTCGAAAATGGGTCATCTTTGGTCAAAAACTAGGTCACAAGAGCTAAAAAAAGAAAAATCTTGTTAACACTCTAGTGGCTGTAGTTTTGTTAAAATATCCTGGAAATTAATGAGGAAGGTTGTTTTTAATGATTTCTAGATCAAGTTTGAATATGGGTCATCTTCGGTCGAAAGCTAGGCCACAGGAGCTAAAAATAGAAAAATCATGTTTACACTCTAGTGGCTGCAGTTTTGATCCAAATATTCTGAAAATTGGTCATGAAGGTTGTTTCGAATGATTTCTAGGACAAGTTGGAATATGGGTCGTCATTGGTCAAAAACTAGGTCACAGGAGCTAAAAATAGGAAAATCTTGTTAACATTCTAGTGGCTGCAGTTTTGATCCAAATATTCTAGAAATTGATAAGGAAGATTGTTTTGATGATTTCTAGGTCAAGTTCGAATATGGGTCATCTCTGGTTAAAAACTAGGTCACAGGAGCTAAAAATAGAAAAAGCTTGTTAACTCTCTAGTGGCTGCAGTTTTGATCCAAATGTTCTTGAAATTGGTCAGGAAGGTTGTTTTGATGATTTCAAAGTAACGTTCAAATATGGGTCATCTCTGGTTAAAAACAAGGTCACAGACTTGAGGGGTGCTCAATTTTCAGCACTTAAATGTGCTGGAATCAATGATCACGAAGGTAAAAGTATAACAGCACTGAAGTGAAGTACAAATGATGTTTTGAAACATCATAAAATATAGCGTTCAAGTTTTGCTTCAGACCCCGTAGTTTTGAAAAAGTCGAGTTGGCTGTTGGGGGGTTATGCATCAACTTTAGTGTTAGCTCTTGTTCATGAAAGTGTATCTATTAACCCTCAGTTTTTGCATATTACATGTCAGTGTTAATTGAAATTTTCGGTTTATCTATTTTTCATGCAAAGTAAGGCCTTCCTTTGTATTTTAGATAATGACTGTACAATTTGAGAACCAGAAGAAGGAGTTGGAGAAAACACTCACTGTCAAGAAAGAGAAGAAGAAGGAAAGCATGACATTGAGACTAAAACAGAAGGAACAAAGTATGACGTCATCCCTTGTGACAAAACAAAGCGAGCAAATGTTGGACCTTTTGGCACAAAAGAAAGAAGAATTAAGGAGAGATCTAGAAAAGGAATTAGAAGCCCAAGTATGATATTAACTCCTTTGCTTTGGAAAAGAGTTTTTCTTATAATCATTTAAATGTCAATGAAAGTTAAAGCACTGTTAGCACTTAGGCTTGATAATACGGTCCATTTATTAAGGGATTGGCTCTTGAGCAGTGCATGCGCTACCCAAGGTTCAATAAAGAATCTACATGTCAGTTATTTAAAGCTTTGACCTTAAACTTGTGATGTTCCTATTCCATGTAACATAATCATTAAATCTTTTATAAAGGACTACCCAGGGATTTTCATTGTGTTTCATTAAAAACTCTCAAGTGGATAAAAAGTACAAATTTATATTTGTTATATAGATTTTTCTAGTTTTGCCAGAAGCCTCTGGCAGTTATCTAAATAACCAGGACTGATAAAAAACATCAAAATGAATATATTGAAGTACTTAGCTTTTCTTAATTCACAGACTGTAAACTTGAAGCCTGTCTAACACTCATTCTGCTTCACCAGATTATATGATATCAAACGTTTATTGAAACGTATATTCTTAATGAGGTAACTCTATCAAGCATTTTGACGGAATTATGCCCCTTTTCAAAATAAGAATTTATGTTAAAGTTTTTGTAACATCTCATATATTTTCAAAGTCCATTGACATATGGCTTTGAAACTTTGCACACTTGTTCACCATCATGACCCCATCCTGTAGACAAGGGGAGGTAACTCTATCAAATATTTTGACAGAATTATGCCCCTTTTTCGACTTAGAATTTACGTTAAAGTTTTTGTAGCACCTCAAATATTTACAAAGTTAATTGACATATGGCTTTGAAACTTTGTACAATTGTTCACCATAATGCCCCCAATGGCTTTGAAACTTTGTACAATTGTTCACCATATTGCCCCCAATCTGTAGACAAGCATTTTTACAGAATAATTGCCCCTTTTTAGCTCACCTGAGCACAAAGTGCTCAAGGGTGAGCTTTTGTCATCACTCTGCGTCCGTCGTGCGTCTGTGCGTCGTGCGTCCTTCAAAAAATGGCGTCAAACTTTTCAAACAACATCTCCTAAACCACATGGCCAATTGCAACCAAACTTTACAGAAATGATCCTTGGGTGGTCCCCTTTCAAAGCTGTTCAAATGTTGCATATGTAGGTCATAGGGCCAGAAAAGGATTTCAAAAAACACAAAATTAAAAAATCTTCTTGTCTGAAAGTACATGGGCCAGAGCTTTGATTTTTAGCTCACCTGTCACAAAGTGACAGGGTGAGCTTTTGTGATCGCTTTTCGTCCAGCGTCCGTCCGTCCGTCCGTAAACTTTTACTTTAAATGACATCTCCTCATAAACCACTAAGCCAATTTCATCCAAACTTCACAGGAATGTTCCTTTGGTGGTCACCTTTAAAAATTGTTCAAAGAATTTAATTCCATGCAGAACTCTGGTTGCCATGGCAACCGAAAGAAAAAACTTTAAATATCTTCTTTTAAAAAACCGTAAGAGCTAGAGCTTAGATATTTGGCATGAAACATGTTCTAATGAGTTTCTACCAAGTTTGTTCAAATAAAAGCCCCGGGTCAAAATTGGCCCCGCCCCAGGGGGTCATTGATTTTCCCTATATGCATATAGTAAAAACCTAAAAAATCTTCTTTTAAAGAACCCAAAGAGCTAGAGCTAAGATCTTTAGCATGAAACATGTTCTAATGAGTGTCTACCAAGTTTGTTCAAATAAAAGCCCCGGGGTCAAAATTGGCCCCGCCCCAGGGGGTCATTGATTTTCCCTTTATGCATATAGTAAAAACTTAAAAAATCTTCTTTTAAAGAAATCAAAGAGCTAGAGCTAAGATATTTAGTATGAAACATCTTCTAGTGAGTGTCTACAAAGTTTGTTCAAATAAAAGCCCTGGGGTCAAAATTGGCCCCGCCCCGGGGGTCATTGATTTTTCTTACATCTGTATAGCAAAAACTTAAAAATCATCTTTGAAAAAACCCAAATAGCTAGAGTTTAGATATTAAGCATGAAACATCTTCTAGTAAGTGTCTACAAAGTTTGTTCAAATGAAAGCCCTGGGGTCAAAATTGGCCCCGCCCCAGTGGTGTTATTTATTAACTATTAACTATATGTGTATAGTAAAAACTTTAAAAAAACTGCTTTTAAGAAACCCAATGAGCTAGAGCTTAGATGTTTAGCATGAAACAGCTTCTTATGGGTGTCTACCAAGTTTGTTCAAATAAAAGCCCTTGGGTTAAAATTGGCCCTGCCAAGGGGGGGGGGCTATATATAGGTGATCGACTTCAGGGCCATCATGGCCCTCTTGTTGGTATATGGTATCATCTATGGGTCCTCTACCAAAGTTGTTCAAATTTTGTCCCTAGTGTCAAAATTGGCCCCGCCCCGGGGGGTCATAGGTTTTTCCTTATATGTATATAGTAAAATCTAAAAAAATCTTCTTCTCTGATTTGGCAAAGGCTACAGATTAGATATTTGGCATGAAACATTGTGTAGTAGACCTCTATCAAGATTGTTCAAATAATGGCCCTAGGGTCAAAATTGGCCCCGCCCCGGGGGGTCATTGATTTTCATTACATACATATAGTGAAAACTTGAAAAATCTTCTGGTCTGAAAGTAAATGGCCTAGAGCTTTGATTTTTGGTATATGGTATCATCTATGGGTCCTCTACCAAAGTTGTTCAAATTTTGTCCCTAGTGTCAAAATTGGCCCCGCCCCGGGGGGTCATAGGTTTTTCCTTATATGTATATAGTAAAATCTAAAAAAATCTTCTTCTCTGATTTGGCAAAGGCTACAGATTAGATATTTGGCATGAAACATTGTGTAGTAGACCTCTATCAAGATTGTTCAAATAATGGCCCTAGGGTCAAAATTGGCCCCGCCCCGGGGGGTCATTGATTTTCATTACATACATATAGTGAAAACTTGAAAAATCTTCTGGTCTGAAAGTAAATGGCCTAGAGCTTTGATATATTTGGTCTATGGTATCATCTGAAGGTCCAATACCAAAGTTGTACAAATTTTGTTCCTAGTGTCAAAATTGGCCCCGCCCCGGGGGTCATAGGTTTTTCTAATATGTATATAGTAAAACATAAAAAAATCTTCTTCTCTGAATTGGCAAAGGCTACAGGTAAGATATTTGGCATGAAACATTGTGTGGTAGACCTCTACCAAGATTGTTCAAATAATGGCCCTCGGGTCAAAATTGGCCCCGCCCTCAGGGGGTCATTGATTTACATTATATACATATAGTGAAAACAATCTTCTGGTCTGAAAGTAAATGGCCTAGAGCTTTGATATTTGGTCTATGGTATCATCAATAGGTCCAAAACCAAAGTTGTTCAAATTTTGTTCCTAGAATTAAAATCGGCCCCGCCCCGGGGGGTCATTGATTTTCCCTATATGTATATAGTAAAAACTTAAAAAATCTTCTTTTAAAGAACCCAAAGAGCTAGAGCTAAGATATTTAGCATGAAACATCTTCTAATGGGTGTCTACCAAGTTTGTTCAAATAAAAGCCCTGGGGTCAAAATTGGCCCCAAGAGGAAGTGCAGTGCACAAGAACCATAAATCTATCCAGAGTAATTGTAGAGTTATGGCCCTTTGTCACTTTTCCATTGTTTTTTTCTTTCCAGAGAATAACTTGAAAACCACTAGTTGGAATTCAATACAATTTCATATAATGGTCAAGCAGATTAAGGGGAAGCACAAAAACCATAACTCCATTTGACTAATTACAGAGTTATTGCCCTTCGATTCTTCTCCTTTTCTAGATCATAACTTGAAAACTACTGATTGGAATTCAAAATAACTTCATACAATGGTCAAGCACATGAAGAGAAAGTGCAGTGCACAAGAACCATAAGTCTATCTAAAGTAATTTTAGAGTTATTTCCCCTTTCCATTGTTTTTTGTGTCGCCTTGAAAAGGCAACATACAGGGGTTACTTTTGTTGGCGGTGTTGGTGGAGGCAGCGTCCCCTTAGGCTTGTCTGGAGCATAACTCGGCCACTATAAGTCAAATTGACTCCAAACTTGGTATGCATGCTTCTTTTAATGACCCAAAGTGCAGTGCACAAAAATCGTTACTCTGCGCTTCTTAATTTTTATGCTCCCCGAAGGGTGAGCATATAGTCGCCACTTTGTCCCTCCGTCTGTCCGTCCGTCCGTCTGCTTTTCTTGTCCAGGACATAACTTTGAAACAACAAGAGCTATCAACATGAAACTTTGTAGGTACATAGATCTCATTAAGTAGGTGTGCAGTGCACAAGAACCGTAACTCTGCCTTGCCTAGTTTTTAGCTCACCTGTCACAAAGTGACAGGGTGAGCTTTTGTGATCGCTTTTCGTCCGGCGTCCGGCCGTAAATTTTTACTTTAAATGACATCTCCTCATAAACCACTAAGCCAATTTCATCCAAACTTCACAGGAATGTTCCTTTGGTGGTCACCTTTAAAAATTGTTCAAAGAATTTAATTCCATGCAGAACTCTGGTTGCCATGGCAACCGAAAGAAAAAACTTTGAATATCTTCTTTTACAAAACCCTAAGAGCTAGAGCTTAGATATTTGGCATGAAACATCTTGTAATGAGTGTCTACCAAGTTTGTTCAAATAAAAGCCCTGGGGTCAAAATTGGCCCGCCCCAGGGGGTCATTGATTTTCCCTATATGCATATAGTAAAAACTTAAAAAATCTTCTTTTAAAGAACTCAAAGAGCTAGAGCTAAGCTATTTAGCATGAAACATGTTCTAATGGGTGTCTACCAAGTTTGTTCAAATAAAAGCCCTGGGGTCCAAATTGGCCCCGCCCCGGGGGTCATTGATTTTCCTTATATGTGTATAGCAAAAACTTAAAAAATCTTCATTGAAAAAACCCAAATAGCTGGAGTTTAGATATTAAGCATGAAACATCTTCCAGTGAGTGTCTACAAAGTTTGTTCAAATAAAAGCCCTGGGGTCCAAATTGGCCCCGCCCCGGGGGTCATTGATTTTCCTTATATGTGTATAGCAAAAACTTAAAAAATCTTCTTTAAAAAAAACCAAATAGCTAGAGTTTAGATATTAAGCATGAAACATCTTCTAGTGAGTGTCTACCAAGTTTGTTCAAATGAAAGCCCTGGGGTCAAAATTGGCCCGCCCCGGGTGTCATTGATTTTCCTTATATGTGTATAGCAAAAACTTAAAAATCTTCTTTGAAAAAACCCAAATAGCTAGAGTTTAGATATTAAGCATGAAACATCTTCTAGTAAGTGTCTACAAAGTTTGTTCAAATAAAAGCCCTGGGGTCAAAACTGGCCCTGCCCCAGGGGTGTCATTGTTTTTAACTATATGTGTATAGTAAAAACTTAAAAAATCTTCTTTTAAAAAACCCAATGAGCTAGAGCTTAGATGTTTAGCATGAAACATCTTCTTATTGGTGTCTACCAAGTTTGTTCAAATAAAAGCCCCTGGATTAAAATTGGCCCTGCCGGGGAAGGGGAGGGGGGTAGGCTGTAGATCATTGTTTTTCATTATATGTGTGTAGTAAAAACTTAAAATTTGTGAAACATCTTCTAATGGGTGTCTTCCAAGTTTGTTCAAATAAAAGCCCTGGGGTTAAAACTGGCCCCGCTCCGGGTGCCTTTATACAGGTGAGCGACCTCAGGGCCATCATGGCCCTCTTGTTTAATTATTGCCCTTTGTTTATTTTTACACTTTGAACTTTGTCCGGGATATAACTCGAGATATAAAACTATAAGAGGTATCAACATGAAACTTTGTAGGTAGATGGATCTCATTAAGTAGGTGTGCAGTGCACAAGAACCGTAACTCTGCATTGCCTAATTTTTGAGTTATTGCTCTTTGTTTATTTTTACACTTTGAACTTTGTCCTGGACATAACTCTAAAACTATAAGAGATATCAACTTGAAACTTTGTAGGTAGATAGATATTATACACATTGAGTAGGTGTGCAGTGCACAAGAACCGCAACTCTGTCTTGTCTAATACTTGAATTATTGCCCTTTGTTTATTTTTACACTTTGAACTTTGTCCGGGACATAACTCTTAAACTATAAGAGGTATCAACCTTAAACATTAAACTTTGCTTTATACACATTGAGAAGGTGTGCAGTGCACAAGAAGTGTAACTCTGCCTTGTCTAATACTTGAGTTATTGCCCTTGTTCATTTTTACACTTTGAACTTTATCCTAAATATAACTCTAAAAGTATAATATCAACATGAAACTTTGTAGGTAGATAGATCTCATTGAGTAGAAGTGCATTGTTAAAGAACCATAACTCTGTCTTGCCTAATTTTTGAGTTATTGCCCTTTGTTCATTTTGACACTTTGAACTTTGTCAGGGACATTACTCTAAAACTATAAGAGATATCAACATGAAACTTTGTAGGTAGATAGGTCTCATTGGGTAAAAGTGCAGTGCTAAAGAACCATAACTCTGCCTTGCCTGATTTTGAAGTTATTGCCCTTTGTTTATTATTACATTTTGACTTTTGTCCGGGACATAACACTAAAACTTTTAGAGATATCAACATGAAACTTTGTAGGTAGATAGATCTCATTGGATAGAACTGCAATTCTAAAGAACCTTAACACAGTCTTGCCTAATTTTGGAGTTTTTACCCTTTGTTCATTTTTTTTATACTTTCCTGTGTTCAAAACCTTCTTGGGGAGCATCACCCGGTTCAACCGGTTCTTGTTGAGTTATTGCCCTTTGTTAATTTTCATACTTTGTACTATAAAAGCTATGGACTTGAAACTTCATAGGATGATAGATCTCATTAAGATAAAGTGCAGTGTTCAAAAACAGGTTCTCTTTATTTAAATGTTAATTTTCTTACTTTATTTTTCTCCGAGCCCTTTCTCCTTAAATATAAAAGGTATGGACTTGAAACTTCATAGGATGATAGATCTTGTTAAAAAAAGTGCAGTGCACAAAAACTGGTAATTTGCAGTCCTTATTTTTTTAGTTATTGCCCTTTGTTTATTTTCATTTTTCATTTTTGTCTGGGCCATTTTTCCTTAACTATAAAAGCTTTGGACATTAAAGTTCATACATTGATAGATATCATTGAGAAGAAGTGCAGTGCACAAAAACCTGTACTCTGTTCTCATAATGTTAGAGTTATTGACCTTTGTTAATTATAATACTTTATTTTTGTCCTGGCCATTTCACATAAACTATAAAAGCTATGGACTTGAGACTTCATAGTTCCTCTTTGAGAAGAGGTGCAGGGCACAAGAACCGGTACTCTGTATGTCATGATTTTAGAGTTATTGCCCTTTGTTAATTATAATTCTTTATTTTTGTCCATGCCAATTCTCCTACACAATAGAAGCTATTCAAGCTACATCAATCCTGATGTAACATTGTTACAATCAGTTCAAATGCCACTAAAGTTTAAGGTACATGTACATTGTAAGAGCCGTGTTGATAAATAACCTATACCGGTATTTAAGGAGAAAATGCCTAAGTGACAGCTATACTTTTCACAAGGCAACACATTCAACTTGTTGAGTTCTAGTTTCTCTTGAAAACCACTAGTTGGAATTCAATTAAACTTCATACAATGGTCAAGCACATTGAGAGGAAGTGCAGTGCACAAGAGCCGTAACTCCATCTTGACTCTAAATTACAGAGTTATTGCCCTTCAGTACTTTTTCTTGTCCAGTGCATAACTTGAAAACTACTGATTGGAATTCAAAACAAATACATAGAATGGTCGAGCACAATAAGAGGTAGTGCAGTGCACAAGAACTATAACTCTATCCAGAGTAATTATAATGTGATTGCCCTTTGTTACTTTTCCTTGTCGCAGACCATAACATGAAATTTACTGGTTAGAATTCTATACAAGTTCGTACAAATTGGTCAACTACATTGAGAGGAAACGCCGTGCACAGGAACCATAACTCTTTCTTGACTCATTTTAGAGTTATTGCCCTTTATTTCTTTTTATTGTCCAGTGCATAACTTGAAAATTAGTTGTTGGAATTCAATGCCACTTCATACAATGGTCAAGCGCAATGTAATGAAGTGCATTCTACAATAACCATA